CACAGCAGGCCAAGCAGCATCATAGGAGCAGAGAGGCTGATGCTGCTTGGCCTGCTGTGTTCATCCAGCCCTGCACCTTGTTGTCACATATTTCTGGATGTTTACTTATGTTTCAAATGTTCTCAGGTTATTTTTGTTTCCTGGTGGAGAATGAAGGTCATGTAAAAGTTTTAGTTTTCTGCCTTCTTTACTTTGATTAATCAGCTAATGCATGATAATGGATCCCTTTTTAAATGACTGCTGTGTTTCTATATTCTCGATGGTGCAAGTACATGTAAACCTCTGCTAATGATTTTGATACAATAAATTGGTTTGGAAAGGGTTCAGTTTGCTGTTGATTTCATTTGTCTCTGTGTTGGATTGAGTCAGCAGGTTTGAGTTGAGCATTAACATTTCTTGCAGGATTTTTAAAGTTTGTTCTCTGATGCAGTGATCACAGGGTATTTCCTGGACATTGTTTCCTGTCTCCAACCTTCCCCCCAAACCTCCACCAACCAAACAATCCAGAAGGACCGGACTGAACACGGTCTGCCCCTGGGTCAGGGTCTGACCAATGTACCCTTGGCTCTGGGCCATTAGCTACTGAACCATAGTTAAGTTGAAAAATGGCCAAAGTAGGACTAGACAGAAAACAACAGCTTGCATTTATGTAGTGACTTCAACAAGGGTAAAAACTTCGCAAAGTTCTTCGCAGGATCAACATCAAACATATCTTGACACCAAACTATGTAACGAGATATTAAGTATAGAAAGATCTAGATTGAAGCAAGTGTCTTAAAGAAGCAGAGATAGCAAGAGTGACAGCAAAGAATACTGGAGGAATTCTAGAGCAGCTGAAGGCATGGTTTCCAATGGCAGGCTGATTAAAATCAGAGACAAGGAAGTGGTCAGAATGGATAAGCACGGACTCCCCCAAAAGCTTTAAATGCAGGAGGAGTTTGTAGAGATAAGGAGAGTGAAGCCACAGTGAGAGCAAACATAAAAGAAATTAATTTTGAGGTTTTGCCAGACCAGGAGCCAGTGTAGGTCATTGAGCATGGGAGTGATGGGGAAACATTGACCTGACTGCGCCTAGATACCACTGTATCTGTGTCCTTGCAATGATGTCCTACAAGGGGAGACGGAATCAAACACATTGTCAGTCCCAGATTCATGAATACAACAGCCAGGAGGAGTGGGACGGTGAATGCCATGGGGACATTTCAACACTCTCAGCTTCAGAGGGACATACTTACTGAGGAGATCCACTCTTCAGACAGAGCTGGGACTACTCATGTGTGTGTGGACAGGGTCTAGGCCAACACCAGCACTTGGTGTCAGTGGTGGGTCAGTTGGTCAAACTCCTGCCTCTGGACCTGACGATTGTTGGTTTTGGCCCCTGTCCCAGGGATTGATTCCTGGCTAACATTCCACATGGTCCTGAGGGAGTGTCAGAGGTGCTGTCTTTTGGAAGAGAATGTCAAGCCATAGCACCAAGCGTTGTCCCAGGTAGATGCCAAAGTTCCCGTGGAGGCATCTTGAAGAATGACAGGAGAGTTTCCCTTGGGGCTCTGGTCAATGTTTATCAATGCAGGTAAATAGACAGAGGAGTGGGAGCTGGCCATTTGGCCCATCAAGCCTACTCCATCATTTAACTAAATCATGATTGATTTTCCACCCTATCTCACTTTTCCTGCATGAACCGCATATCCTTGATCTCTTTAATGTGTAGAAATCTATTGATCTCTGCCTTGATTCGAAGCAACCACTGAGCTCTCTGCATTGTTGTATCAGGTAGTAAGCGTTACTGATCTGAAAGGGTTTACTGACACTGTGAGGTATAATCTATCCATCTCAATACAAGGACCTGTCCCTGTGAGGAGCAAACCACTTTTGTGTTCCAGTTCAGTTCCAGTCCAGAGCTAACTAATGTAGTGAAGCATAAAGAAAACAAAGTACTGTGGGTGTGGGAGATCTGAAAGTAAAATGAATCATGCTGGAGCAACTCAACATATCATATCACTTCTGTGTGGCAACAGAAACACAATTAGCATTTCAAATCCGATACAACCCTTCTTCAGAACTGGGAGAGTTTGGGAAACAGCAGTTTTTATGCAGTTGACAGAGGGGGAGGAGAAGCAAGTGGAACAGATGAGGAGCGTGTGAGCACAATGCTAATGCAGAAACAGATGCAAACTTGATCCAAATAGAGGTATGGAAAGGAGAAAACATATTCTCTCTGCCAAGAGAAATGTCAACTAGACACAGATAAGGCAAGGCGGGGGATGGGAGAAGGGAATGTAAGAAAAATGGAGGGCAGACTCATGTTCTGAAGTTGTGTAACTCAATATTGAAACCTAGAGACTGTAAAGTGCCGAAGGGGAAATTGAGGTGTTGTTCGTCCAGTTTGTGTTGAGCTCTATTGGAACACTGTTGCTGGCCCAGAACAGAATGTTAGCATTGGAGACTAGCTTGTTTAACTCTAATGTGTTTTGGTGTCTTAAAAAGAGCCTGCTGGAAACTGTTTGCATTGACCAATGACTTCAGAATTCAAGCAAGATCCAATCCCATGTGCCTGCAATCGTAGGCATCATTCAAAGAATTTCATAAAGGGTTAGTGCTCATCATTGAAATGGTTCGGTGAATTCACCAGTTATAACTCTTTTATTTTTCTTTTCACTTATCCATCAAATATATGTGCCTGCCTGTCTATGTGTGAGAGTGGGAGTTACAATCAAAGTTTGATTTGATTTGTTGATGTAGCCAAATGAAACTAAGTACAGTGAAAAGCTTTGTGAGCAGTACAGGCAGATCATAGTAAGCAAGACATACAAATCATAGAATGAGGCATACAGGTTACACTGCACAGAAGGTGCGTGAAACAAGATTAACATTGACAAGATCAATATTACTTGAAGTTAGAGTGCCCATTCATCACTCTAATAATGGCAGGAGAGAAATTTTTCTTGAACCTGCTGGGGTGTGTGTGTGTGTTCAAGCTTCTGTATCTTCTGTCTGATGGAAGAGGCTATAGGAGACATTACCAGAGTTGGGCTTAAATCATCGACATTAATTAGATTATCTTGTTGTTTAACTTTGCTCTGCTAAAGTGTTAAGAATAAGTTGTTAATTTCTCTTGGTGTCTGGTATCTGTTATACTTGAAGTCTGGTTAGGAGCAATTGGACTATTTTGAGGGTCATTGAATATTTTAATTTCACTGGGTGGTGATATCCAGAGTTAGTAAGTCTGATTTGGCCTGGCTTGCTGTCCCAGTGTCATAGCTTGTGTCGGCTGTACCACCTGTGCGCCCTGAGAAACATTGCTTTTTGGTTTCCCTCCCATAATTTGCCCAATGAAAGGCAAATTCTGGTGCTAGAACATGATTGGCTACATGGCTGAGCTTAAAAATGGCACTGGCTTTGGTAATGGACTTGGCCCTAGCCTTTGTTGTTCTGGTATTTCATCTAAATAATATGGAAATGTCTTCAGAGTCCTGCTTCTACCATCATTTTAGGCAGTGAGTTCCACTATCTGGCATTTTGTTCCTCTCAAACATCCTCTAAACCTTCTGTTCCTTAACTTCAAACTCTGACCCTGGTTATTGAAGTCTCGACTAAAAAAAAATTTCTCCCTGCATTTGAACCTCATAACAATCAGGTCCCCCTTGGCTTTCTGTGCTCAAAGGAAAACAACCCCAGCTTCTCTAGACTCCCTTCACAGCTGAATCTCTCCAGTCCAGTCAATGTCCTGGTGAATCGCTTTTGCATCCTCTCTAATAAATTACATTCTTCATATAGTGTAGTGACCAGAACTGCATTTAATTTCCAGCTGTGACCAGACTAACATTGTATACAGCTCCATCACCACCTCCTCGCTCTTATATTCAATGCCTTGACCAATAAAGACAAGTCTCCCATAACCATTCTTAACCAACCTATCTACCTGTCCTGCTGCCTTCAAGGATTTTTTTTTTGATCATTCGTGGGACATGGGCATCGCTGGCTGGACGAGTATTTGTTGCCTGTTTCTAGTTTCCCTTGAGAAGGTGGTGGTGAGCTGCCTTCTTGAAGCACTGCAGTCCACTTGCTGTGCATTGAACCACAATACCCTTAGAGAGAGAATTCCAAGATTTCACCCCAGTGACAGCAACAGTGAAGGAACGGCGAGATGTTTCCAAGTCAGGATGGTGAGTGGCTTAGAAGGGAACTTGCAGATGGTGGTGTTGCCATGTATGTGCTGCCCCTTGACATTCAATGGTGTTATATCACTGAATCCCCCACTATCAACATCCTGAGGGTTACTGTTGACCAGAAACTGAACTGGACTCGCTACATAAACACAATTGCTACAAGAGCAGACCAGAAGCTAGGAATACTGCAGCAAATAACTCACCTCCTGACTCCCCAAAGCCTGTCCACCATCTACAAGGCGCCAGTCAGGAGTGTGATGGAATAATCCCCCCTTGCATGGATGGGGGCAGCTCCAACAACACTCAAGAAGCTTGACACCATCCAGGACAAAGCAGGCCCCTTCGTCCGCACCACA